TGGCATCTGAGAAAGATAGGCATTACTTCCAGTGCTTAGAACAGCAACTGAAGGAGAAATTCAGATGCTAAGATCTTTGACCTGAAGTAAAACACCAAGTTGTCTGCTTTCAAAGAAGTAACATGCTTTCCCAAGAGCTGAAAAAAAGATGGAGAGATGCAAAAGGTCAAACAAGTCTATAGAAGGACAGATTTTGAACATAACATGCTTTAAAATAAACATGTTTTGGTGGCCTCTTGAATTCTATTATGCCAAGCTTCTCCCATACGCTCAGATGACAATCTCTAACAACAAAACCAGGAGTACAATGCAGAAGGCAAGAAAACGCAGAAGCAGTTGCCAACTTCTTAATAATAAGTCCAAGTACCAATGGGAAAATGCTGGATGGAAATTAAAGCTAAATGAAATCAAGCAGATCAAGAAACTTGCAAAGAAAAAAAGAAGTTCAGAATATAAGAATATCACTTCTAGAAAGATTACTGTTAAAACCCCAATGCACACGGTTGGCCTGCAAGACTTCCTGAGACTTTTCCACTCAGAATCCATCATAAAGACAAATTAAAGCTTTCCATGAATTTACACTCAAACTGCTGTTGCTACTGAAACTATTTTTGTGGTCTACTTTTGTAGACAACTCATAGTCACTTCTTGAACTGCAGAGGCTCTGAGCAAGTTCCAGAGCTCAAGTTAAACGCCTCAAGTTATTTCCTCACGTTCCAATTACTCTCAAGACTTTTCTTTTATACTTGGAAACTGTGTTATCCCCTTCTGTCTCTCTCCTTCACATCACTTTGGTATTTATACCTTGGAAAGTCTCTTGCAGCTACATGCAGGTACCATTAAATTTGCCAGAGGTGCGTGAGTTCCATGAAGGAAGTGAGTTCCACTTGAAGTCAAAACACGCGCTCCCTGAGAAGCAATCCCAACAAGTATTTGCCCAGGCTTCTTCTGCCCACTTAGATGACTTGAGAGACATGTGGAACTCCTCCCAGACCCTTACTACCGGTTACCAAACATTCAGAGCAATATGTCCCCACTTCACAGATGCATCTCAGCACCACCCAGTGCAACCACGCAAAGCTCAACTGTATGAAAGGAAGCATCAGCCAGGAATGTAAAAGCCTCACGGCTAGAAGGCAGAGAAGATGGTTTGCCTGTTCACCTCCTATCACTGAGGGATTAAAGCTGAAAAAGGAGAAAGTCAAGCACAGGTTTTTAGGGCTGCGTAAAGATCTCATTCATCAGGTTACAAAAGTCACTCTCGTCTGACTGCATGGGCTTAAGAAAGCCACAATAAGAAGGATTTCTTTAGGAGCAATCACTGCTGGAATTATGCAGGCAGTTGAGACTATCAACATATATGCACTCCAGGAAAGAACAGAATTACGGGATCAAAGACAAAGAGGTTCAACATGTAACAGATATTAATTTTATGTGATGCACACCTTCTTCTAACTATCACTATGTAACTGGCACATGATAGCACTGGCAGAGGGATACAGCTGTTTTACTATTATTTTAGGAAAGCATGGTGAAGTATTCTGAATAATACCCAAACCAACCTTGTTTCTTTGGAAAGGCAACTAAAATAATTGTTAAGGCAAATAACTAGTACCCCTTCTGGGCTCAGACAGTTCCCTCCTATGTAGGAAGTGAACACGCAAACAGGCAGAGGTAAGGGATTCTTGTAGAGAGCTTGAGGCAGATTTATTATAAATAACAAAGCTGCAGTGAGATAACTAGGCTAATAAGATCAACAGTTAGCACGCAGGCAGAAGAAGAACAATGTAGTTTCGTAACAGGACAGAAATATAAGTCAAGTCTTACACCCAGTAAATTTTAGGGAAATAGTGTAACTGTTAGAATACGCCTGCCTGGTAAAACATCAGTCATAACAGATCAATTTAAAAGCATAGGAAAATACAGTGGATGTTCTTAGGCACGTACACCTTCCCTATACAGCTCTCATCCACTCTTTACCAGCATAGGGTTTACTAGATTTTTGCAACTACACTGAAGCAGAAAGTATTTGGCCAATAAAATACTAATATTGTGGGCATCACTTTTATAAAGTTTGTTTAGCTTGCGTGCCTGGGCATTATTGCCATCTACAGAAGAGCAGTAACCTTTTTACACTGTTATCTAAACAAAACCAAAAGAAAATCATCCATTTGAACATACTAGTAAGTCACATCTATAGGGAGCATCACATAGCCAGCAGAGCAAAAAACTAAATTCTAGTTTGCATGTCAGTGCATCCAAATAACAGCTGTACTGAGGCTTATACACAACATAGGAAGACATACAGCATGGTCTTTTTCAGATTATTGAGACCACTGCAGTCACCACATAAAGACCATTCAGTAAGCTAACGCTGCAGTGTTCCACAGCAGAGTGCTGACGCTCCATCTGAAACATCACACATTCAATCTTTTAAGAAGGAAAAAAACCCCTCAGATTTCTTGTTTTTAAAACCGTGGTATCACAGAATAGAAATAAAACTTTGGGCTGAAGGAAGAAAAGATGAGAATATATGAGGCCACATTTTGCAAAGAAAGCGTTGCAGTCCCAGAAGAAAAAGCCTGGTCTAAGTGGCAAAAAAAGAAAACAAAACCAACAACGTTCTATGGCAGCATTTTAAGAGACTGAAAAGAAGGTAGGCAACAAACAAAAACACTTAAATACTCATAGTAAACCACAATTCAAGCAGCATATACTTTTGTCATATGAGCAAAAGCATGCTAAGAATGCCAGAAAAAGGTAGAGAGTAAATCAGAGTTTTGGGTTGTTTTTTTTTTTTAAATTTGAAAGAAAACTGGTTGAATATATACTCATCAAAATACTCTATACATGCTTCGTATTTCACTAAGCAAAAGTACAGAATGAATTACAAACCATAATCAGTTCTGGGCTTTTACTTTTCTCTGCTCCATCTTCAAGTAACTCACATTATTCAATCAGAAAGTCGAGACAAGAATGAAAACAACCTTACAGAACTTGACACCAAACAGAGTCAGATAAATTATATCTGTTCCAAATAACTGTTAGTGTAATTCTTACTGTTTTTCCTACCCTAAGTAAATTCAGCCATTGGCTAACACACGTAGAAAATTTTATACATATTTTATGACATAATACAAAGAAGATGACTGCATTTACTCACTTTTATCGTGATTCTGAGAACAGCTTGCAGAAGTTATTGCACCATATAATCATTGGCATGGCTTCTCAATCATCAGTATTCTGAGCAATTTTAATTACAAGGACATCTTAAGCTAACTGCAATAAGTGCTCATAGTAACAAAGTTAAGACAGACTAATACAAGCTACCACGTCATCCAAATTATTATTGTGGTCCACACACAACCAAAACCTGTGGCAAATGCAATTACAGCAATAGCTCATCCCCCCTCCATTAAGGGCTATGTTGTGTAGTATCAGCATGTTTTTGCTACTGTCTAAAAAAATGTAAAGCTGCCATAACTAAACTGATACAGTACACTCATAAAATCATTATGAATTTAATAGTGAGCCTAAGATGAATGCTCCTTCTACTTAACTGTCCTGATATTCAGCTGCATATATCCTGAGAGAAGCACTAATTACAGTTCTGAAACTCTCTAACCAGAAGGTACTTTTGCCCAGTGCTTGGACACTACCTTTGTACAACACTTAATTAAGCTGTGGAATACCTTTCTACAGGATGCTGCTAAATTCTACGAAGACTCACATGCCAAAAATTAAAAAATGTTGCCACTATCTCAGGAAATGTGCAAACTACCAACTGCTAAAAGCTAGCATAGTAACACAGTTCCCCATCCCTGTATTCTTCCTTACAAGTCTACTATTGGCGACAGCATATTGACTACTGCAGAGTTTCGGTCTAACCTAGACAGCTGTTCTTCCAGTAAGAATGTTTGCAAGCACTCTTCTGTCCTAATATCCAAGAGGATAGCAATTAGCCAAGGTTCAGATTATATAAAGCTAGAGTAAATGTTTCTTCTCCTTTTATTTGTAACTGCCAGTGGCAGAACAAATCTTTCTACCTCAGCAACATCTCAGCAGGGAACAAACTATTTCAAGCCCTATTCTTTCAGGTAGGAATAGAAAAACAAAGCTGCTAAACTTACACTTACCACAGAATCATAAAATGTCTTGTGTTAGAAGGGGCCTTGAAGATCACCTCCTAGCTTCAACACCCCTGCTATGGGCAGGGCTGCCACCCAGCAGCTCAGGCTGCCCAGAGCTCCATCCAACCTGGCTCTGAGCACCTCCAGGGATTGGGCACCCCAGCTTCTCTGGGCAGCTGTGCCAGGGCTTCACCATCTTCTGAGCAAAGAGTTTTCTCCTAGTATCTAACCTAAATCTCCCCCTCTTTTAGTTTTAAACTGCTCCTCCTTGTCCTGTCACTAATGCTCAGCCTTAACTAGTGGAAGACGTATGAGAAGAAGATGAGGTCCCTTGGTTTGTTCAGCCCAGAGAAAAGGAGACAGAGAAGAGGCCTCATTACAGCCTATAGCTTCCTCAGTAGAGGAGTGGAGGGGCAGAAGCTGATCTCCAGCCTCTATCTAGTGACACCAACAGACTGGCATGGATCTGTGTCAGGGGAGGGCCAGGCTGGATATGAGGAAAAGGCTCTTCAGGCAGTGGAACAGGCTCCCAGGGCATTAGACGTGGCACTGAGCTCACTGGAGTTCAAAAAGCATCTGGACAATGCTCTCAGTCACATGATCTGATTTTTGGGTGGTCCCGTGTGGAAACAGGAGTTGGATTCAGTGATCCTTATGAGTTCCTTCCAAGATGGGATATTCTATGATTCCATGAAGCCCTCATACATTCAGCTGAGTATTTCTGGTATCTTCCTAGTTTTATTACAATTATTTAACACGCATAACATGGTCACAGAATCTCAGTTCGTAGGTCTGGAACTTATTTCAACCAGTGAATGAAGCATTCACATAAAAAGTAATTTATCTCAGCCACTCTAACAGATAACTTACATTTTCCTGATCAGAAGACAGAAGTGGCTCCACTAAAAGAAGCCTCTGCTCAGAGCTGTCCTCTTCAAAAGCTGTCTGTGCTGTTGCAGAGTCAGACATGTGTCCTTTTCTGAGCCGCAGACCTGGCTCTGGAGAACCAGCATTATCGAGTTCCGTTAGTTCATTCATGAGATGCTGGGAACCTTCTCAAATATTCTGCTTCCTCTTGATCTGGTTTGGCTGATTACGCGTTGGCTCTGAAAGACAGGATTTGTATAACTACACTGAAGTTAAAATGAACAGCATAAGAATTGGCTGGAAGAAGAATATGCCTAAAAGCTGCTAGACAGCTATGATGATTGCTTTTACACGTGTCCAAATTTCCACATAATCATCTCTATATAGTTTTACACTGCTGAACAATGAATTCTTATCTTCTGACCACTAATGCTTGTATTCTAACACAAGTTAAGCACGTCTGTGAAAAACAACAGAAAATGCTTCCCAGAAATTCACGGTACATTTACAGAAGCACAGCTGTGCTCCGACAAATCTTTTTTATTTGTACGAAGTAGAAATGCTGGGCTGTTGATATTAGTCATAATTAAAGTACCTGTCACACACATTCTAAAGCTATCAGCTTTGCGGGTACGAGACTCATTTCAAATTGCCTGGGCTCCACTAACACTAGAACATTAAGCACTGATACAGCTGCATGGATGGCAACAAGCACACAGAGCATCAGCTAGCTCTAGGCAAAGTGAAAGTGGGGTAGTAGTACACACAGCAATCATGTTGTTACCATCACTTAACTTAGCATGTTCACAATTATTGCTAGCAACGGGTTCGTACCATACCTTACAAAAGGAGTTAGACTAAACAGCTTTATGCCATTCATTCCATCCCAACAACTGAAAATTGATAATTACCATAGATAATTACCATAAGCCAGGCTATCCACACAGAAAAGTAACTGCATTTTACACTTTCAACAATGCAAAGAGGATGCGGGGCAAATTTAACTCAAGATGCCAAAGATTAATTAAATGTCCAAGTGCTACCTGATGATAGCTTGTTAATGAGCTTTTTATCCAAGAGTACTATTGGTTACCTATTTATCTTGTACACCAGTACCCAGTAGTCACTGGGACAGTAAGCTGATACCCATCTGGCACCATTTGTCTCAGGAGGCACAAAATCAGGGCGTTTTGAGCTCCAAGTGCCACGAACCAGAAGAACGAATTAGTGCTCAACTGACACTGCAGAGTCACTCTGAATGAGAACCCACTGGTCTCATACCAATAATCGCTTGGGCTGATTCTGTTCCTGGAGCATTTAAGTACTTAGATGTGACTAACGTTAACATTAAGATAACCCATCTAACAAGTCTTAACTTGCCAGAGTGCATAATTAGACTGGAATTTTAGAACCCAATAAAAGATGCTTAACTTTGTCATAATGTAAGAGGGCAAATTAAAAATGTAAGATGAGGGTTTGATATTGGTGGTCTTGCAATAAAATATCACTTCTAAAAGGCCAACAAATAAAATAACCCCTACAACTAAGGGATTAATCTCATTTAAATATGATCACTGCAAGATAATTCTCAGCTCTGTCAAATGTGCTGTAGTTAATTTTGCTGTAGCACTTTGTAACGTTATCTCCCCTCTGCTGCCCAGCAGTCTCCAGGGAAAAGAGCTGCTAAGGAGCAGGTACCAGACTGAGGAGCCTGCGCACAGCTCGGCTGTCAGAGCTCAGCATGGCACGCTGCCTTCATCACAGGAAAGTACAATTACAGCACAACAGCAGAGCAGATGGCATGCACACCTTTCTGTTAGCCTGCCACTACAGGATCAGCAACCTCCATCAGAAAGGTAACACCTCAAATGGCCACATCTGTCTACCAAGTAAACAGCCAGTTTTACTTGTTTTTGTTTTGTTTTGTTTTTTTCCTTCCACCAGCTTTAAGCAATAGGACTGCTACCATGTGCTGTATTGCCTGCTATGTTGCCCAAGAGCATGTCCTTACATCACCCTGCACCTCCGTGACACTGCGGGAGCAGCTCAAAGACAGAGGCACAGTACTGGCACAACAGGCTTGGCCACATTTGGCCAATGCATTTGTGAAAGGTTCTGCTAATATGAAAAGATGTAAGAACGCCAAGAGACTTCTGAAATCAGGCCTTGAAGATTTACTTAGCCAGCACTCTCTGCCAAGCAATCACTGGGGTTTAAAATAAAAGATGCACTTCACCTCCTGCCAGTCAGATTTGCATTCAGCAGCAGAGGTGAGCTTCAGAGCATCATAAAAATAGAATTCATTGTTTCTTGAAATTACAGCAGAACTGCTCAATGGACTGAGATGTCTCCGTGTTGTCCTTCAAGCAGTACTATTTCAGTGCTGAATATGCCCACTCTCCCAGGGTATATAGGGCAAAGCCTAAGTGTGGCCAGTACCATCTAGCCAAAAGATGGCAGCTAAAACACTCAAAGAAGGCCTGTCATTCCATTCTGTCCCTAAGAGGAAGAAGCTCATGAAAACAAACATCAGAAAGCTATAGACACTTGGGTTTTTGGAAGAGGTCATTTTGCTTTTGAAATTACAAATCTTAAATTTAACACCTTAATTTTTTTTTGCAGCATGCAACAACCTAGAGCACTCATTAAGATTAGTTTCTATTTAAAAAGGAAGTTGCCATATACAACTAGAACCACTTAATAACTGCACATACAACAAGCATAATATCCACACCTAGATCCATTAGTTCCTGCTGTGTTTCAGATCAGCTGAGAAGAGAATCTACAGAATTTGGTGTATTTATTTTAATGTACAAAAATTTAAAAGGCTGTGTCAGTTTTTAGAAAGGACGTAAGACTTTAATATTATCTTAAGTTCTAGAAGCAAAACCAGCACTCCGTCAATCTGTTGACTCAACATGCAGCTGCCACCACAAGCTGCAGTGGCCCAAGCGCTCCTCTCTCCCAACTGCTCACTCCACCCCAGTTCAGAAGAGGTCAGCCTCACAGCAAAGGGCAGTCAGCACCACTTTATGGCTGGAGACAAACTTATCTTTCTGAGAACAAATTCAGAAGGCAGAACTATTGCAGCACATCACAGAAATTGTGCAACAGCAGCGGAGTCAACATCCACAGTTACTGAGCATATGTAGGACACCAAACACCCCCCAGGTGTCATCCTCTAGATGACAAGGCAAGAGTAGTTACACAAGCCTAAGCACCACAGGATGATGATGCTGTCCTTTGTAAGATCTTCCTGGATATTCTCAAGAGAAAAGACTGCAAGAGCTTAGTAACCTTCTCCAGTAAGTCATACAGACCTTCTAAGCTTTCACAACTTGCTCCCCACAAGGACTGGCTTTCCACCTTGTGTGAACAATGTAGCAAAGCATGCACTCTAAAAGTAATGCCTGCAGACAAATGTCAGAGATTTGTAACTCCCTCATTTGTGATAGAACAGACCCCAGACAGTCACATTACTTCCCACCATCAAGGCAAAGCAATCTCCCCAGCACTCAGCCCTCTCCAGCACGTCCCTCTTATAAGCAGCTCAACAATCCTGTAAGACCCATTTCATTCTGTTCACAATTGGTATTTGAAAGAAGAATGAAAGTGTCACCTCTCTCCACTCCTCTCATTTATCAACAGCCTGATAGAAACATTCTGGCTGTTTTGCCAGTGGACGGGGCCAGCACAAAGGCCACAGACATCAAGTTAAAGAAGTGAGTTTCTCTTAAGTTTAAAGCAATGAGGTAATAACTGAAATGATACAGCAAGAATAATACAGACCAAAGCAACGTACCTAACTGTTACTACATGAGAATAGTGATTGTAATTAAGAAAGATACATCACCAACTGCCCGAACACTTGACCGTCATCCGGATCAGCAGTCAGTGGGGAGCCCGGGCTGCAGCAAGGATTTGGAGAGCCTTTCCCAGCTACTGGGAGGCCCTACACAGTGTGTCCATGCATAGGTGAGGTTTCCTTTGCTACAAGAGGGTCCAGCTTTTAATATTGTTGAATAAATAAGTTTGTGACAATTACACAGAAATATTTAGTTTCATTCTCCCTTTGGATTCCACCTCAAGCCTGGCCAGGGCTCAAGGAAGAACCAAGGAAGTGTGTCCTACCAGGTCTTGACACTATGCTTCTAAACAAAGAAAGGTTAATACACAACGCTTTATTTAAGCTATATCTCTTGCTGATAAGATGCGCTGTTAAGATACATATTTTGCTAATGACCATACATATTTCACTAATGATCAGATACCGATGATATATAATGCTGGGTTGTGAGATTCATCTAGACACCAACTTTGGTTCAATGCCCATGGTTCAGGCCTTAGTGCTCCATCTGTTTAGAAAAACTGTGGCATCCACTCTGTATTTTCCTTGCTCATCCTGCTCAAACTATCCCTCAGACTAGTATGAACAATATTTAATGAGCAACAGAGGACTAACTTTAATATTAGTCCATTATCCCCAACAGAGCTTAGTTATCAAAAGAACAAAAGGTCATGAAAATTTCAGGCTAACATCATTGACCTCTGGAGGTCCCTTCCAACCCCTACAATTCTGTGATTCTGTGATTTCTCACAACATTCCTTAATGTATAAAGAAGGGCTTCACTGCATGAAAAGCCTCCTTAGAGATATATATTTCATCCTGCAAACTTCTGCTAGAGAGGTCCTGCATAAGCAGCCCCTCCCCAAAGACACAGTAACAACAGCACTATTCAGTAATATCATATAACAAATTATATCAGGTGTTGCTAGCATCACCCTTTTGCCCAAATCAGACATCATGTTCCCTTGTTCCCTAGAGCCAGTACAAGTCCTCAATCGAGTTTATCAACTGTGAGACGCTGGCAGGTTGTTTTGGATTGGGCTTTTTTGGTTAATTTGTTCTGGAGTTCTTTTTGTGGTGGTGGGATGATGATTCTCCTAGTGCCTGTGCAGTATCCTGCTCTGCTTACTGGGGAAACAAAACCAGCACAAGTGCCCATGCAGACAAGAAGCGGGAACATATACACTGGGCAAGGGGGAGAGGAAGAGGAAGTCATGTGAAATGCTGCATCACATGAACTAGACTGCTGTTGAGCTTCACCTGTAGATGTGGCCCTGCTACTTATTAACTGGGTGACTTACTAACTAGATGGAGTACCTGCTGATTGGCTGCATTTTGCTGCACATAGAGCAGTGCAGAAGAGATACGCACTCCATACATTTCAAACCTCCA